CAGATGGATTTTGTCATCTGGGAAGGCCCTTTCTCAGAAGCAACATATATACATAAGTGAACAAGGGTTAGTGTATCCCCCACAATGTTGGCTAGAGTGTCCCAAACATGACACACATCCAAGCCTACACAACCTAAATCTCAACATGCCTAAATCATAATTAATTGCTTGGATGTGTGTCACGTCAACGACACTCTAGCCAAGACTGCGAAGGGGACACACTAACATGGTTGATGTAACGCTCCTGAAGGTACATAAAAATTGGACATGACCTGTCCATAATAAGGAGGATCGATCTGCTCAATTTTGACATACACTCCTATGTATACACACACAAAATAATACTGAAGAGCGAGAATAAAGCAGTGAAAATATATACAACACTCAGAATCACAAGGTTGACAGCAAAGTCCACAGAATACCAGAACGCTAAAAGAAACAATAGTACACTACAAGTCTGATAATAGCTACAATATACATTAATACATGTTCGTTAAGTCAAAAGTACTACAAAAGCAAATACAAATTAATTACTACTATGATTTCCATCCGAGTTAATCTTCTATGCTAGAGTTTGTAATCCCCTTTCCCTTAGCAATTGTATAACCTATGAATAAATACAGAAACAATAGGGGTGAGCCTAAGGCCCAATAGACAATCATAAAAATCTAAGGTACAACATAAAGGATGAATGAAAGGAATAATCATTAATATTTGAGCTTGAACGAATGGATATCAATCATTAAATTTCCATACTTATGTCATGATCATTGATCGAACTGAATTAACATATGTTATTATGGATAATCAAGCTCTACTATTCAGGATTCTAAACTCCCTAATCATGGGGGTAAACAATAAATCACGCATGCCTTTATACACCTACCAATGAGCATCCTCACACAGGCCATTGGCCCCTTCGGGACCCATTTCTATTACCACCCACCGGTAAAGTTTACTTCATACAAGGCATAATCCATGAATATAAAGCATCAACCATCAACAAAGAAAAGAATACTATCATTCTCAATAATGAAATCATCGAAGCAAGTCGAATTGCCACAATATAATCATTCAGAGAATATTCATGATATAAAACCGAAACAAACAATATTAAGATAGCAATGGTTAAGCAATCAACAACAAGCTTACGCCCGAAGTGATTCAGATAGGAATATTATGAAAGTAATACGATATACAACTGAGCATGGTAAACTAACTCGCAGGAATTTTAAAAAAGTAATCATTCAAACTCTCAAAAAATCTGGAGGAAACAATGAAAGGCTATCTACTATTTGTGCCGGGTTCCTCTTGACCGACGAACGAATCCAATATTCTTTGTCATATATACACATACATGTATACCCATATGAGATTCTAAGCAACTAGGTCTTTTATTATTTTTCTAAATTTATAACTTATATCATGGTATATGTTACATTCAATACTTACAATATACACAGCAGCAATTATAGTGTACATGTAGCGGTTTGAGATAAATGGATGGTAGAGCAATCGATTACCAAATTGCATGAAACTAGTGTCATATGACTCTAATATGCGTCTACTTTTCAAAACAAGTTATTTTCAAGACTTATGTCCATGGATCAAGTTATACACAGGATATGCAGGACATGTACAGACTGTAATTGCAGACTATGTAACAGATTTGAGTGCACAAATGAGGGGTCAAATGACATCCAAAATTTGTGAAACAACATTCAAAATATTTCTATATAAGTCTAGTTTTTTGACACAAAAACAATTTCATGCATGCTAACTTTTTGAAGAGAGTTATGCCTTATACAAAACATAGAAGGGTCAGGATTTAGACTCGTGCCGAGAGCTGAATTTACTCCCTCATCTTACTAGCTCTTTTAGGTATAATCCACTATCAAAATACAACCACAAATATGAATATGGATAACTTAACAAACCTAGTTTCAAATTGTAAAAATTTTATTCACTAAAAGCATATATAGAAAGTGAGATACATGTAACACACCACCAGAGGGCAGACTGGATATTCTGTGCACATGCATAGAGTTTGACCACAGATTTGAACTAGTAAAAGATCTCGGAATTGGATAAAATTAGATTCAAATGAAAGATATAAAAATCTAGTTTTTGAATATCTTAATAAATTAAAATTATGACTAATGATCATGGAGATCATGGAGAATATGATCTTTGTATCTATAAACATAAAAAATATGATATTTACTGGTTTTCAGGCCCCATATGATCAAAACTCTATGTATGTGCAAGCTCTCGTCCATATCTCCATGATCATTAGTCATAATTTTAATTTATTTAGATATTCGGGAACTAGACTTTCATATCTTTCATTTGAATCTAATTTTATCCAATTCTGAGATCTTTTACTAGTTCAAATCTGTGGTCAAACTCTATGTATGTGCACAGAATATCCAGTCTGCCCTTTGGCGGTGTGTTACATGTATCTCACTTTCTATTTATACTTTTAGTGAATAAAATTTTTACAATTTGAAACTAGGTTTGTTAAGGCTTTGTTTGGCTTCCAAGGTGTTTTCGTTGTTGTGTTTTTCTAGAAAAACACATTGGTGTTTAGTTTTTTCTCCTAAAGTGTTTTGAAAACACGGTTGTGGTTTTGAAAGGGTCACATTGCAGGAACAACTACTGAAAATTACACATAACAATTCATAAATTCAGAAAAAAAGAAATATTAAGATCGAGAGACGAGAATGGTTACAGATTTGGACGCGTTGAGAACGGAGACGACGGGATCTAAGGGGGGTCTGGAGGCGACAGCGACGGAGACGAAAACGGAGTTTGGGGGGGTCTAGAGGGCGAGCCGGTGACGGAGTTTGGGGTCTGGCAGCGACGACAACGGAGTTTGGGGGTTTGGAGGCGACGACGACGGAGTTTGGGGTCTGGAGGCGACGATGAAAGATCAGATCTATCACTTAGGCGACGACGAGACGCCCACAATCCCACCGCCACAGCGACCGGCCCGCAATGCGACGCCACACGCGCACACAAGGTTTGGGTGACACGACGACGGCCAAGATTTGGGCGATGGCGACACTCCAAGGTATTAAATGTCGCCCGACATGTCCGACATGTCGACCGACATATCGGTTTGAGGGTTTGACCGACACGACATGGATGTTTTCAACTCGTATGTCAATTTTCAGGGCCAAATCGGAAATACCAGGGTTATATCGGGCATATCAGCCTATTTTTAGCTTTTAAAAATCAACCGATATGGTATTTTTTTTAAGATCTGTTTTTTGTTATCGGATTTGGGTTTAGTGATAAATACCCAAACCCGTTTAACCCGTTCTCATGTTTAAGGGTTTCTTATGAACCCGATAGAAAGAGTTTATGAACCCAAATCCATATATTATTTACTTTTTTATATGTTTAGTCTATAGAATTTATAAAGTATGCTTATATTAAATTTATGAATGCTTAGATTACATTTAGGACATGATATTATACATATACGCACTACCCGATATGACAATCCGATATTTAGTCAATGTCCCCCGATATATCCCCGATTTTCGCTATCCGACATGGATTTCAGTCATCCGACATAAACCCGACATCTGATATTTAAAACCTTATGACACTCATATCTGAGAGCTTGGGTCGATATTTTAGTAGAAATAAAAACAACGGGATTTAAACACCTATTTGTTGTTTTGAGAAACCCGTTGAAAGTTTGGGTTTGCTGTGGATTTGGACAGAAAAAAAAGAATGGTTCCCAAACAAGTTTTACTTTTTTTTTTAAAACAAAACTGAAACGCCACAAACGCAGTGGTTACCAAACAGAGCCTAAGTTATCCATATCATATTTGTGGTTGTATTTTGATAGTGGATTAAACCTGAAAGAGCTAGTAAGATGAGGGAGTAAATTCAGCTCTCGGCACAAGTCTAAATCCTGACCCTTCTATGTTGTATAGGGCATAACTCTCTTCAAAAAGTTAGCATGCATGAAATTGTTTTTGCTTCAAAAACAAGACTTATATAGAAATGTTTTGAATGTTGTTTCACAAATTTTGGATGTCATTTGACCCCTCATTTGTGCATTCAAATCTGTTACATAGTCTGCAATTACAATCTGTACATGTCCTGCATATCCTGTGTATAACTTGAGTCATGGATATAAATCTTGAAAATAACTTATTGTTTTGAAAAGTAGACGCATATTAGAGTCATATGACACTAGTTTCATGCATTTTGGTAATCGATTGCTCTACCATCCATTTATCTCAAACTGCTACATGTACACTGTAATTGCTGCTATGTATATTATAAGTATTGAATGTAAACATCTAGTGTAGCATAAAACATGATATAAGATATAAATTTAGAAAAATAATAAAAGACCTAGTTACTTAGAATCTCATATAGGTATACATGTATGTGTATATAGGACAAAGAATCTTGGATTCGTTCGTCAGTCAAGAAGAAGCCGGCACAAACAGTAGGTAACCTTTCATTGTTTTCTCTCGATTTTTTGAGAGTTTGAATGATTACTTTTTTGAAATTCATGCGAGTTAGATTACTATGCTCAGTTGTATATCGTATTACTTTCATAATATTCCTATCTGAATCACTTCATGCGTAGGTTTGTTGTTGATTGTTTAACCATTGCTATCCTAATATTGTTTGCTTCGGTTTTATATCATGAATATTCTTTGAATGATTATATTGTGACAATTCGACTTGCTTCGATGATTTCATTATTGAGAATGATAGTATTCTTTTCTTTGTTGATGGTTGATGCTCTATATTCATGGATTATGCCTTGTGTGAAGTAAACTTCACCGGTGGGTGGTAATAGAAATGGGTCTTGGAGGGGCCAATGGCCTGTGTGAGGATGCTCACTGGTGGGTGTATAAAGGCATGCGTGATTTATTGTTTACCCCATGATTAGGGAGTTTGGAATCCTGAATAGTAGAGCTTGATTATCCATATTAACATATGTTAATTCAGTTCGATCAATGATCATGACATGAGATGGTAATTTAATGATTGATATCCATTCGTTCAAACTCAAATATTAATGATTATTCCTTTCATTCATCCCTTATGTTGTACCCGAGATTTTTATGGTTGCCTATTAGGTCTTAAGCTCACCCCTATTGTTTCTGTATTCATTCACAGGTCATACAATTGTGAAGGGCAAGGGGATTACAGACCCTAGCATAGAAGACTAGCTCGGATGGAAATCATAGTAGAAATTAATTTGTATTTGCTTTTGTAGTACTTTTGACTAATTGAAAATGTATTAATGTGTATTGTAGCTATTTTCAGACTTGTACTGTACTATTGTTTCTTTTAGCGTTATGTACTATTGTTTCTTTTAGCGTTCTGGTATTTTGTGGACTTTGCTGTCAACCTTGTGATTTTGAGTGTTGTATATATTTTCATTGCTTTATTCTCACTCTTTAGTATTATTGTATATATATATATACATAGGAGTGTATGTAAAAACTGAGCAGGTCCACTCTCCTTATTACGGACAGATCATGCCCAAGTTTATATACCTCCGGAGGTGTTACAGTTGATATATCGACTAAAATGTCCTTTTAGAAGGCTTGCCACAAAATGATGTGATTTGAATATCGTTTATCATTTTTGGCAGTTTTTCGTTAGTACTTGGATTTCCCAATGCGTCAGCTAATATCCTTTTCCTTGACATGTTAGCAATATCTGTTTTCTCAAAATGTTCCCTAATCGGCTGACATTCTGACCAAGCATAACTAGAAGTACATCCATATTTGAAAACTTTCCTTTTAACTATATAGATAGATAGATACTCTTTAAACATGTACTCTCCAAAAAAACACTTCTCCACTTCAATTAGTATACCATTTTGATTATGTAAATAGTGCCTCCTATCCGACCATATGTCGTCATGATGAATGATTAAAGCTCATATGTGCAGTAGTTACCTCAAGGTCTTTTATCAACATGAACTGCATGTTTATTTCTTTTCATAAACTGTATGATTGTGTGCCATAATATCTCCCACCAATTCAATATATTGTCACCTAAGCCTTATATGCATTGTTCAACTTTGGAAATTATCACTCCCTTAGTCTCATAAATACTTCAGTGTTAACGACAAACGATATGCACTATTTCTAAAATCATCCATAACTACCATAAGGAGAGGACTTAATCCAAATGTTGGCAGTTTGCATAAGCTAATAGAGCTGGGAAACTATTATCTTCCCTCCAGTTATTACTACTCAATCATGCATATTATGTATCAACTTTACTATAGTATACACTTCTCACCAACACAACATCTCCATCATGGCCCTGTTATTTTTTTTTAAATCAACTGAAACCACATATTAATCTCTTTGTTCTCCTACACCACCATCAGAAAGCGTTCATGTTAGCAGAAAACCAAACTGGTGTATAGAAACAATTTAATGTTTACATACCTAGAAATTCCATTCCACCCATCCTATGATATAAATTAAAACATCAACGAACAAATGAAATATACATATTACCTTCAATTCAGCAAGGATCTCTGGCGTACCTCTCCCAGATGCACATATAAGGAAAACAAATCCGAATTTCTCCTTGTAACGAACATTCCACTCAGCTAGTTCCTACAAAAAGATACAGTATCAAAGCTTATCATCCTAACTTTCAGAATCTCACAACTTTCAACCAAAAACAAAATTTCCTAAAGCATAAACCCTGAAAACCTTGGGCTGTTTCCCACGAACTTCCATGCACTTCCCCAAATTTCTTTTTCCTTGCACACAGATCAAGGTCACAGCTTCTGATTTTTGTTTGCCCCCTCTTACTTTAAATTTTTTAAAATCCATGTATCGTCTACTAATACCCTATTTCGATTGGGGGTAATGAGAGATAAAGGAAGATAAGTGAACCATTAACCCTACTTAAGGACTCATTTGATGGGGGTAATTGAGGAGAAATTAAGTTAATTGAGATGAAAATTTATGGGATTTTGCTCCCCCCAAAATTTTGGGGTGTAATTGAACTAAGAAAAGATTGCCCTGCATGGACAGCTTTACCCTTCCAAGATCAAACTCAAAGAGCAAGATCGTGTTTGAACTCCCCTTCCCTTTATTAAAGTTTTCAAATGGGCTGAAATAAATTCCCCTCAATTCCCCTTACTAATAACCTTCTCTTCTGATATTAGGAGATTACGGAATTTCGGTTAATTTTCCATGACGGTTTCAATGGAAGATTTTTTTTTTTTTTGGCTTTTAGGGAGGTTTTTGGGGGGTGAAATTTACTCTTTCCTAAGTTCAAGAAGAATATTGCATGCAGGACTCAAAAAATCTTGAGCAAAAATTATTACCCGCATCGTTGAACTGGTGGCTGTTGCAAGCGCAGTGGATTGCTCTTCCTTGTTCCATCTAATTGATCGTCAAATCCAAGAACAACTCCAATCATTTTTTTCACCATTTAAAATAATTTCATAATATAATCAAAGAGTTTCGGAATTTTGTTACTGGGGCATGGACTTTGAGGTGTTCCCGATCTCAGGATGAGCAGCGAAAGACTCGAGCAAACACTTGACATCAACCTGTACACAAAGAAAACAAGATGAAGATTGATTAAAGAAGAAAAAGAATCGAAATTGAGATGTTGATGATGATGATGATGATGATGATGATGACGACGGTGAACCTTATTGAACCAGATATCCCTGGCGCATCGGATCGCGTGATCGAGATCGGAGAAGGGAGAAGCGGCGACCATCTCCTTTGCGAATCTCCTGCTCCCTGAGCAACTCAAGAAATCCTCCTCCCTCCATCGAGGCTCCATTTTTTTCTTTTTTCTTTTCTCCCCTCTTTTTCTTTCCCCTCCTCGTCTTTTGAGATTCTGTCGTCGGCAAAGACTGTAGATAGTTATAGCAGTGAGAGTGAGCTACAAAAGTGGGGTGAACGCAAATTATGTTTAGGCCCATAAATCTTTCAGGAGTTCTTTTTCGACTCTGTAGTCCTACTTGTAAAGTTAAAAGTTTTGTTATGTTCACAAGTTGTACGAACTTTCAAGCTATAATAAAAAGATTAATAAAAAAAGATGAATTTTACAAAACTATCCATCGCCCTTAAAAGAGTTTTCTATATATAAAGTATTTTTTATTAAAGCACCAACTTCAAACTTTCAGATCAGGGTTTGTTCGTTTGCCTAAAAAAAGAGGGAAATTAAAGAAAATGAAACCTATTTCTAAGAAAAATAGGTTTTTGAATTGTTTTGTTGGCTAAAAAAGAAGGAAATCAAAGAAATAGAGATGTGATGAGATGAGTTGTCACATTATTATTGAATGATGTGAGTGATTTTTTAAGAAAACTAGTTTTGATGTTGTTTGGTTGGCGAAAAAAAATAAGGAAATGAATTATAAGAAACCTATTTCCTGTAGTTTGTTGTTTTCTTTTGTTTGCTTCATTCTTAAAAATAAGAAATGAAATGAGATGAGATGAGTTGTCATTGTATTATTGGGTGGTGTGACCCACACTTAAGAAAAGTGTTTTCACAACTTTTTGGGATGAAAACAAAGAAATGAAATGTTAATGAGATGAGGTGAATTGTTATAATATTTTATTGGATGATATGAGTGATTTGAAATGATGAGAAGAGATGAGTTGAGTGATGTTTAGATGAAAATAATATTTTATTAGATGTGATGGATGAGTTGTTAGATGAAAATAATATTTTATTAGATGTGATGGATGAGTTGTTAGATAAAAATAATATTTTATTAGATGATGTGGATGAGTTGTTGGATGAAAATAATATTTTATTGGATGTCGTGGGTGAGTTTTAGGGATGAAAATGAAAGAAATAGTACTTTTTGAGATTTCCACATTTTCCATTTCCATTTCTTGATTTTTAGTACATAACCGAACAGACCCTCAGTAGAAAAATATCACACAGTGTCAAAAGCAATCAAATGAACTGTCAGGAATCTTTTTTATGTTTTTTAAAATTATCATAAAAATTTTAAAATAAAATTAATAAAGTATTATTACATTTTTGCTATTATTCAAAAATTATCATGGACTTTAAGTCAAAATCATAAAGCTACTATGGGGTTTGCTGATAATATTTAGTGTTTTTTGCAGTTGATTTGAAAGCCATTGCAAATTTTTCTGTAACAAAAGAAGTTCATGATAGTTTTACACTACATACCTAAGAATTCATGGTAACTTTGTGAAATTCATGTTTTAAAAATTATATAGCTTTTATCTTCTTATCTCTTAAAAGTTGTCTCCAAGCGCCCATTGGAAAAATCATAATAGTAATATCTCCGTTTCCTCCATATTTTGAGAGTAAAAGTGGGTATGCAGCAATAGGAGCCACCATTAAGTTCCATAATCACCCATATACCAAAAATCTGTCCGTAAGCGGTTTCTATTTAACCTTAAAATATCACTTGCTCCCTGTGTATTAAAGAAAGGTAACCTAAAAAATAGTTAGGGGCATGTAGATGTAGTAGTTGTAGCATGATAGGCAAGCACTTTGAATCTTTGGATATGTGGTAGGTGCGTGCAAGTTGCAACCAAACTCATACTAGTTATTTAAGAAAAAGCAACCCCATATCAACAATAGTTGGTCAAAAAAGGAAATAATATAAAAACTTGGAACATTGCTATATTCTCTAATAGAATAAGAGTATACAAATCCGATTTAATCCGATTTAATATCAATTAAAACTAATTAACAAGTTATCCTAGCAAATAAGATATGCAATAATTATATGCAAGGATAATCAATATAAACAAAGGGTAAAATAAACAAACTACAAATGTGATAGGGCAATATACACAAATAGTAATAGATAATGGCGATATAAGATAAACACAAAAGAAAATGCGCCAATGACAAACTCAAACACAAGCAAATGATCACGGAGTTCAGACCTTCCGTCCTACATCTCCGATCCCCACTCCCCGGGAGAATCCACTATCACAATTGGGTTTTTAACGTTCACCCAAAAATGTTTACACCTCACAATATCGGTTTTCAACGCTCACCGATCAACGTTCACAATCACTCAAAATGTAACTACACAAATCCCACCTCAAGTGTTGGACTCTCACATGTCTCCCTCAAGTGCTCGGAATTACTATCTCTCACTAGGCTTTACTACCTACGCCACTCCTCTTGGGACTGACCACGTCTCTCACCTCTACACTCCTCTTGGTGTACTTGTGTAATACAAAGTGACCTCACTGTGACGCCCCTGGTTCACACAAGGCTGCAGTCCGAGGTGAAACCAGGAATGTCAAACCTGTCATGCACCACCGTGCAATAACATGTTTTACCATCACAATTACTATCTCTCTAGTAGAGTCAACAACATGTATAGGTACAAAAGCAAGTAAAAGATAATACAAGAGATATATGATGAAATAATAGAGATAAAAATGATATTTCATCATCCAACATACAAAATATAAAGTGAATCTATGAAATAACTAGTCTGGAGATCTCAACAAGTCTCAAATACAGAATATCTGATAAAAGAAAATAAGGCACACAGCATTTACAACATCTAGAACATAACTCTTAAATGTCTAAACAAAATGTCTACAGTGGAGCTCCATAAATAAAATAAAACTATAAATAAAAGATGGATGCTAATAAGTATCGCCATCAACCTGCGACTCTCCGTGCACCTGGCTCGTTACTTGAAATGGGAGGGGACAACGAGCGTCAAAGCGCTAGCGAGCAACATCACAACCAACCCCAATGGAGAGGGCTCGTTGCATATAGAAAATACAGTACGCATCGGACTGTTCTCGTCTTCGTCAAGGGGTTTTCTGAATAAATCACCCGACAAAGTGTGGTCACGAGCTCGAGATCGTGGTTGTTAAAGCAGGGTTTTTTTTGAAAAATGGCGATGACGAAATCAAAAATACAACATCGAATCTCGAGCTCGCATTGAATCAGATCTCAACCCTCTCTCCGACTTCCCCCATTTCTCCCAAAATCACAGCGATTTTTTTCAAGTTCCCCCATTTCAGATCTCGAGCCCTCTCTCGCGGCGAATCAGATCTCGATCTCGAGCCCTCTCAGCCAGCGCCGACTTCCCCCATTTCTCCTCCTCCGTCAGACTGTTCTCCAACTCCGCCCACCACGATCTCGAGCATCGCCGCCGACGAAAGCAGCATCGCCGCCGACGAAAGCAGCATCGCCGCCGACTTCCCCCATTTCTCCTCCTCCATCAAGCCACCTCCTCCGCTTACTCACCGTCGGCGGTCGTCAGCAATTTTGCTCCTTGATCTCCGCGAGCCAACTTGTAAGCAGTTTCTTCCTTTAATTGATATTTAACTACACAAAGAATGCTTAGATATTGAATCATCGCATGATTTTGCTCGTCGATCTGGTTATTTTCTCGTCGTAGATCTGAATCATCGGATGATTTTGCTTAGATCTAGTTATTCTGATTATTCTTTGAGATATTTTGATTAAGAGATTACTAAGTACAATTAGGGATTTAAGTACAAAAGCAATTTCACACAAATCACACAAATCGCTGGTTTCTTCTAGTCCCATAATTTTGATACAGGCCTCTAGTGTCAATTAGGGATTAAGAGATTACGAAGTACAATTACATATTTTGATACAGGCCTCTAGTGTCAAAGCACTCTCTGCTCTCTGGTTTCTTCAAGCCACATAATTTTCTTTAAAATTTGTGTTTATGTCGATTTTTTCACAACAAACACATATTTAAGCTTCAGATTATTGGCTAGGGTATCAAGTTGTTGACAACTGTGTTCAATAATAGAGAAGCTCGATAACCTTATAAGAATCTTGACAGTCGGCATGTCACAAAAATGTCTTATGAGGCAGAGACTAACAATAACAACTGGGCTTGCACTGATATGGTAGGTTAATTCTGCATTAGGTTCTACTCTCGTTGAAGCTCTATTTGACGCAGGTTATCTATGGCAAGAAAGCGTTTTTATATTGTGTTAAGAGGTAGACAATGTGGCATTTTTGATAATTGGGAGGAATGTAAATTCGCTGTTGATAAATTTCCAAATGCCTCGTGCAAAGGGTTTGCAATGTACGAAGAGGCTTTGAGAGAATGAGAGAAGCACACCATCGATCGTGATTCAGCATCCAGCTCAAGGCCTGTCCAGACACCACTTCAATTTCAACAACAAATATTTCCGGATATGCATAATAAAGATAAGGACAAGGAAAAATTTAGGGAAATTGTTATTTCCCCGATCTATATTTTTGCATTAGGTTCAATGTTTACAATATTTGTGTTTGTAGTATGTATCGTTGCAGTATTTGTTAGCTTTTCCATTGTAAAGGGTATGTGATGGGATTTGTAAGTTATGTGATGTAATATTTATGCATCTTATATTTTGGACTTGTCATTTTTCAGAACATATTTAAGCAGAACATATATTTTCAGAACATGTCATCTTTTAAGAATATTTTTGTAACAGGTATTTGATGGGTCTGTTTTCAAAATTTGTTCGCATATCCTATCTTGCTAAGATGTGACATAATATTTTTTTAACAGGTATTTGATGGGTCTGTTTTCAAAATTTGTTCAAAATTTGCTAAGTTGCTAAGTCCCTTTTGAACTAATGTATGGACATGTGCGATGTCGGTGAAAGACAGGCCTATGGAGGATGCAGTAGATTTGGGTTAGGTATAGATAAGGAAAGAAAAGAGATAACTTGTCTGGAAACTAACACTCAACAGATCCACATCCTGGCCTTGTGTTGGTGTAGAAAGAAAAGAGATAACTTGTCTGGAAACTAACACTCAACAGATCCACATCCTGGCCTTGTGTTGGTGTATATGAGATAGCTTCATAAGATCATAGCATTGTGATAAACTGATTATTTTTACGTAAAATCATCGAAAGCTA